TGACTTTACTTGCAATACGATTTCTACTAAACAAAACAAAATATTTTTCTTCTCACATTCTTTCATATGTAGTTATTATTTCTACTAAATAAATAAAATGACGATTAACATTCCATACATAGGTTATGGATAAAATTAATGTCAAAAAAATAGGTAAAATTTTGGAGAAGGACTAAAATTGCACCAATATTGCAAACATAAGAGACTTTTGGTGCACCATGTGAAAATTCAAGGATCACTTTGCGCCTTAACAAAAAAAATGGACTAATTTGATCCTTTCCTCTCAACTTTAACATAGAGTAGTTTCATAGTCGGATAAGAAATAAATTTATATATATATATATATATATATATATATATATATATATATATATATATATATAAACTTATATGATATTTAGTAGAAGTATATAAAAAAAATAAGTTATTTATATATAAAAATTAATATGATGTTTAGTTGACTATTTAAAACTCAAAAAACTATACATGTATATATCATAAGAGAATTTATAATAGGGAAAATCGTATATAATAGCAAACTAATAACCTAAAATAAATGGAGTAGCTAGAGTTTGATTTAATTCTACTCCATAACAAACGTTTGCAAAAAATTGTCGGGCGCCTCTCTCCCAAATATCTCGCTCGCCACTCTCCTCCAATCTCTCGCTCGCTTCCTCACTTTTTATACAAAAACAAATGTATAAAAATTATTTCTAATTGTATAAAGCAGAGAAAATTGTTTGAATACATATATTTTTGTTCTTCTCTCTCCTCTCTTCTAGATCTCGCTCGCCACTCTCTCAAATCACGCTCGTCACCCTCGCCTTTCTCACTTATACAAACAGAAGCGAAATATATAAATTGTGTTTCTATTTGTATAAAGCGTGAGAAAATTGTATATACACATGCAAGTACATATATTTTCATCCTATACACTTATAATTATACAATAAAAATACTCCTCTGCCCCAGTTTCTTTTGTCTTTCTCTCTTTCTTGTTTTATACAATTTTTAAATTGTATCTAATTTCTCTCTTTCTCATTTTATATAATTCGATTCAATTGTATATTCCTTGTCACGTCTCTTTTGTCTTTCTCTCTTTCTCATTTTATATAAATTCAAACTGTATATAATCGTTCTATACACTTATAATAATACAATTCATTTTATACACTTCGTTTTTATACAGTTATCTGCCCAAGTGTCTTTCTCTTTCTTGTTTTATACACTTCGTTTTATACAATTTGTTTCAACTATATATGTATAGCAAATTATACTGTTTCTATGTTTGCTATGGACCGATTATACAAACTTTACTATAGCATACAAATATAAATTTTTTATTTGTTATATGTGAAAGTTACCCTTTATAATATAACTTATATGGAATAACTGATATATGAAAAATTAATCATTACCTAATTGATATTTATAAACAATACATTTATTTATTGATAACTAATCTCTATATTACTAATACATATTACTAATCTTCTATCAAACGACTTAGATGAGAGCGGACGGGGACGTACCTTTGTTCTCGTTTAAATCTCTATGCACTAAAATGATCAACTTTGTCCAATCAAAAAAGTTAACACTGTGGACTCTAGCTGGTTAGGGTGTGGGCCTTCAAGTCATATGGAATATTTAATTTTACTTTGTGTTACAACATGTGGCTGTGTGTGTTCTCTTTTTACTGGCGGGGGAAGGGGTTGATAACAAATTCAGAGGCTATTAAAGTATTATTGAAGTTTTAGCTAGTGCAATGTTTTTTCCTAGTTATGGTTTAAAAAGAAGAGTGAGTATCGATAATCTTTTAAAGTTTCTTTTAAAATTTATCGTTCGAACACTTCGTTCTCATCTATGTTTTTGAGAGGTTATTTAACAATAAGTACACACAATAAAACTTATTTCAACAAAATGACCATATATGTGATATATCGATATGCATATCTAATCTATCGATATTGTATAAATAGTGTATAATTATTTATGAATAATACATAATTATGTACCCTGCAGAGACGTGTGTATATATACACACACATTGTTGATACATTGAAGATCGATATTTTTATTCTTCAATTCCAACTAATTTAAATCTCCTTTAAATAGTCTCAAATATGGGTACATAAGTTTTTCTCAATATTTCAAATCTTTTGATATATTATCAATTCAAAATAATTTATTTTTTTGGTATGTCGATTTTTAAAGTCAAGCTTTAGACAAACTTTGAATAAAAAAAAGAGGAAGGAAGGAAGAAGGAAAGCAACATTGAAGGAAGAAGAGGAAGGAAGGACGAAGCTGCGAGTTAGGAAGAAATCATTAATGGCTTGAAGAAAGAAAAAAAACCATTTGAAATTAAAAGTGATCCAATAACTATTTTATGTAATTAATTATAATTGGATTATTTCGGATAAAAAATTTGACTCAATAAATATTTTTTTCTAATTTCCCCCTTTTAAAACAGCTTTTTAAAATAAAGTTAATTTTAAAAGTATAATTGAAGAGACTATAAAATTAATAGTTTATTGGAAAAATTACTTGGAGTGATACATTTTAAAAGTAATTATTAATTTTAGTGATAATTCTTATTTATTATTATTTATAGCAACACTATGTTAAATTGGCAATATATATTAAAAGTGAATTATGTATGTAATATATATATATTATAACTGTTTTTAAAAAACATATTATGCTTGTTTGGTAAGAAATTGACACATTGTATTATAAGTATATTAAATTTGTGTGATAAGTGTATTATTCATCAATAAAACATGTATTTTATGTGAATAATAAATTGTTCTTAGTAATATGTATTAAAATTGTATTATGCATGTATTAAACGTGATTAAATGAAAAAAATATTATTGCTATAGTTGGTAAATATTTTTTATATAATATATTTATATAAGTTTCCTAGCTTATTTAATTTTGGATGGTCTTTTTATTTTGAGGTTTTAAGAAAGAAGAACTTTCACAGCTAGTCATTCTAAAATAGCCTAATTACTCTCCATAACTATAGGTTGATATTTACTATTTTTAGCTTACATGATATAGGGAGGAGAGAGGCGAGCGAGACTGGGAGAGAGATGAGAGAGCGAGCGAGAGAGGGCAAAGAGTGGAGAGAGGTAAATTGTATATGTATATCGTTTTGAAAATTTTATATTATACATCCCGCTTGGGAGAGGGAGGAGAGAGATGAGCGAGATTGAGAGAGGAAGGAGAGAGGCGGGGGACTGGAAAATGGAGGAGAGAGGCGAGCGAGAGAGGACAATTATTTGTATAGTTCACATCTTATTTTTATAATTAGCAGGTAAGTTTATATAATTCACGTGTTTTGTATAATCGAGTACTATCAAGTCTGAAATTATACAAATATCCTAAAATTCAAATAAGAAAGTGATATAAACATATATATATGCACTTTAAAAAATTATACAAATTACATTATACAAATCATATTATACAAAATTCAAAAATTACACGTTTATACAAACTTTAAAAAGGTATACACAAAATGTTGAATGTATATGATGACCCAATGGAAATCATCGTCATAAACAAGTACAAACAATTGTATACAAATATAAATCAAACAAAGAACTGTTAGCTGTGAATTATACACATGTGACAAATTATACATATACAAACGTGGCTAATTACACAAACTCAAGTCAATCCACATAATTATTGTATAATGTTAGTCGAGAGTGGTAATTATAGCAAATTATAGTTATGATGAATAACTAAGTACTATAAGTTTGCTTAACTGCGTAATTTTTAAGAAAATTGGCCTTTTAAGTTTTAAGTGAGTATATATCCTACTAAAAAAAGGAAAATGGGATAACATGACAAATCATTAATTCAAATTAAATGCTATAATTACAGTTTCATTTAATTCTAAATTGTAGCGAACACTTGTCATTCGGCTCTGTCTCTAGAAATCTCGCTCGCCACTCTCCATGGCCTCTCTCACTTTTATACAAATACAAATGTATAAATTGTGTTTGTATAAAGCAAGAGAAAATTGTATATACGAATACATATATTTTCGTCCTATACACTTATTATTATACAAATATAGATTTTTCTCTACCAGTTCTCTTTTATCTGTCTCTTTTTCTCGCTTTACACAAATACAAATTCCATTTGATAGCTTAATATGGCATAAATTATTTTATTAATTTTTGTGTAAATTATATGATATTTGATCGATAAATAGAAAATAAGTTATTTATCAATGAAAACTAATAGGACATTTTGTTGACAACTCAGAAGCGCATAACAAATACATGTTAAGTTTCGAGAGAATCAATGTATTCCTTCCTTTTAATAAAGAATTACATGCTTTCTTTTTTATATTCTATTTGAAAATGAAGGATCCTTTTTCTTTTTTTACAATACTTTATTTTTAACTTTTCACGTGATATATTTTAAATGTTAAGATTTAATTAAAGAGATTTGATATATTTAATATAAGATCACAAAATTAAAATATCTTCTTTATTTTGTTAAACCCCATGTCATGTCAAAATAAATCTCTCTTTAGATAGACACAAAGGAAATGTCATTTTATGTAAAAGATGAAATAACTAATCCTTATATAACTAATATCTTTATAAAATAATACATATATTTGTTTACAATTAATCCTTACATTATTGATACATGTATAACACTAAGTAATATTATTATTACTTTTTAGATATAAGAAAATTCCAAGTATTTTAATAATCTATACTAGTTTGCTTGTCTTGCTTCTTTGATTTTTTTGGGGATGGGAGGTTGACTTATAGGCCTTGACGTCAAAGTCGTTACATCACATTTTCTTAAAATCACTTAGAAATTGTAATCCTCTCTATTGCCTTGCTCTTTCTTTCATTATTCCACGAAACTTCCTTTACCTAGTTTTCTAATATTTGGAAATAATATACACTTTACTTTATAATTTTAACTCTCTATTTTCTCCATCTGAGATAAGACCATAACACCTTATGTTATACCCTATATAAACCCTCTAACCCCCCTCTTTTCCTCATATCATTTCCTCTTAAATTTTTTTGAATTTCATCTAACTTTTTCCCCAATGGCAACCAAAAGATTCTTTGATGACTTTGTTGATCCTGACTCCAATCGACCAAATTACAAACGTCTAAGAAAAACACCTTCTTTTGCTTCGTATGTCATGATTAATTACTTTTTATATATAATATTTCAAGATTAATTTATATGTCATCTTCTAATTAACTTTTTGTTTCTATTTGCTTGTAGTGTGATTAAAGAAGTGGTGAAGGTGAATTTCTTAGATAACTTTTGTTCAGCCTTGGAACCCATGCTCCGAAAAGTGGTATATATATTTCAAGATTTAATATTTCGACCTACATACAAAATATAATTATTTTGATGTTCATCTGAGAAACTCCTCTTGTCAATACTTATTTAAATTTCTTTATTGAAATTATGTATAGGTACATGAAGAGGTTGAAAGTGGACTAAGAAGATATTCTAGATCAATAGGAAGATCACCTTCACTAAGAATTAAAGCACTTGAACCATCAAACCTACGTTTAATATTCAACAAAAAACTTTCTCTACCAATCTTCACCAATAGCAAAATTATGGATTCAAATGGTCAATACCCTCTCCAGCTCCTACTTGTAGACGCGACGGGTGATTGCCTAGTTCCAACCACCTTAGGTACCCCGATTAAAATCGAGATCGTGGTGCTAGATGGAGACTTTCCTTGTGGAGAAAATTGGACACATGAAGATTTCAATAAGAATATAGTTAAAGAAAGGGCAGGAAAAAGACCTTTGGTTACTGGTGAACTTAACATTACTATGAGAGATGGTGTTGCTTCTCTAGGTGATCTTGAATTTACTGATAATTCTAGTTGGATTCGAAGCCGGAGATTTCGTATCGGTGCAAAAGTGGTTCACATAGGAAATGGTCAAAATTCAATACGAATAATGGAAGCTATGACTGATTCTTTTATGGTTAAAGATCATCGCGGAGAACGTAAGTCATTTTTTTCACACTAATTATATCGTATCGATACAAAATATATTAATTACTCACACACACATGTCATTTGCTATATCTTTTGAGTCAAACACTCACATCTATACCTAACCCTAGGTATACTATATGTGCACTTTATTAACAAGTATATTTATAGAGAGAGTGATTTTTATCGTGATAATTTAGTGATATCGAGTTATATATAATTAATTTGAAGGCATCAGATTAATGAAATCTATTATTATTTCTTTTGTACTAAGATCATAATTCATATACGTATATATGTTTTTTTTGTAGTGTATAAGAAGCATTATCCACCAGCATTAGGAGATGATGTGTGGCGTCTTGAAAAAATTGGAAAAGATGGAACATTTCACAAGAAGCTAATTTCACATGGCATAGAGACAGTTCAAGATTTTCTCAAGTTGGCTAATATTGACCCACATAAAATAAGAAGGGTACGTGTATTGTCAACTATGTAACACGGTTTCGAAAGAAATTAGAACGTTGAATTCATTAAATTTAAAATTTGAAATTATTTCTGCTGACAGATACTTGGAAATGGAATGTCGGAGAAAATGTGGGAAGTAACATATAGACATGCAAAAACTTGTGAGATGGGAACTAAATCATACATAGCTAGAGGACCAAACTACATTCTTATCCTCAATCCAATATGTCAAGTTATTAGAGCAATTATTAATGGACAAATTTGTCATACTAGAGAGTTAAGAGGAATTCAAAGGGTAAGTTTAATTTTTTTTTTTAACTTTTGTAACAAATTTATAATGTTTTGAACTTTTTCACTGATTTTTTAAAAAATAATCGTTTTTGTCTTTTTAATAGTCCTATATTGAGAATTTGGTGAGGAATGCCTTCACAAATTGGAGTTCTTTAGAAGAAGTTGATGGTGGCCTGCAAGTCAATGAACCTGCAGCTTTACTCACTCAAGGTACTTTAATTATATACTTGCGTGTATAAATTATAATATAAAGTTTGTAGGTTGTGAGCCACTATAAATGATACTTGATTATTCTCTATTCCCCAATTGAAATTGTTTTAAACTATATTCCCTTATTTTACTAACACTACAGTAAATAAAGGATTTTGTGACAAATATTTATACAGTAATAATATAATTATCATTATATTATATTTATTAGTAATAAAAAATATATTTGTAATTAACACTCTATATACATGTAGCTTAAAATTTTAGCGACTTTGAATATAATGATATTAACTCTAATTCTATTAAATATTTTTATAACAATAATATTATCGTGTAATAATAAAATTTACCTGATTGTTTAAAATAAAATAATAAGACAAGGGGATTTATTTCATTTTTGAATACCCATATGCAAAAGGCTCTCCTAATTACTTATAAAGACAATGATGCTAAACATAATTTGGCTAAAAAGCTCATGAACTTAATTTGGAATCTATCTAAAATAAGGAATAAGTGTAAGTCAACCCTTTACGTTACTATATTTTAGTACAACGTGTTTGCCATCAAATGCCTAATAAATAATACAACTACTTGACATTGAATTTAGCATATTTTTTCCTAGTAATTCCTTCCCAACACACACACACACACACACACATATATATATGTGTGTGTTTGATATAATACTTAAAATACTTGATAATTAATTAATTTGTTGTGTATGATTAGGAGAACGAGGGGTGCATCATCAAAATGGCTATCCTAGGTGTGCACTTTTGACTGCAACAGATGGATCAATTGAGTGTAGTGATTGGATTGTTAACCAAGCAGACATTAGCTTGCCTATTCAAAATGGAGTTTGTTATATCTCAGAATCTTCTTCTAAGGAGGAATTAAATTATTTGTGAACTTTAAAGGAAAATATGAGATTTAAGGGCATCAAAGGAATGAATTTTACGATCAAGTTGATATCGAGAGTAAATAAAACGACATGAACAGTGAAAATTCATATAGATATGTCTTGATTTGTTTGTTATTGAAGCATAATTGCTTGTTGTTTGATGTACATATACAAATTGTGTAACCCAATCCATAAAGCGAGGGGCAAAAAATGTGGTAGTTGTGCCTCCCCTCTGTGAAAAGGATGTGTGGTTTGCAATATCAAAGTTTTTTCTTTGCTATTTCATAAAATCTCAATTGTTGTATCCCACTATGTTTAATGTGAACGACAAGATAAAATTTCACAATAATTCAAAAATTATTGTACATAAAATTTATAAAGTGATTTAAATTATATTAAATTCAAAATACATTGATTCAAATAAATATTGTGGATAACATAACTAGATTATTATTTTAAATTCCATTGGGCTAGTCCTTCAAATTGAGCTACAAATTATGAGATCGATCATATTGATAGGTCCTGCTAAGTCCAATATGTCATCTTATTCCAGATATCTAATTTAGTGTCACATGTCAAGTGACATACCATACCAAGTGAAATGAAGAAACTACATGTTAAAATGACATAACATACACAGTCAGATCAAAGGAAAGGAAAATATAGTTACTCATCTTCAACTTACTATAAGAAAAGAGTTTTCTATGCTCGATAACAAAATGACTGTGAATTAAATACTCGAGTTACTCATCTTCAACTTACTATAAAAAAGGGTTTCCTATGCTCGATAACAAAATGACTATGAATTAAATACTAGAGTTATTCATCTTGAACTTACTATAAGAAAAGAGTTCCCTATGCTCGATAACAAAATAACTATGGATTAAATACGTTTCTAGACAAGAGGCCTGAGTAAGATTAACAAAACTAATTTTAATCAAGATACTTATATATTTTGGCATGACAAATTTAAAATCAAATAGTGGCAATATGTAATCACAGTTCATACAGAAATATTTTTTTTAGGAAAAAACATGATCACAAAGAAGAACCAACAAGATAGAGAGATCTGGTTGACACACAAAATAAAGATAAAGTTGGAGATGCTTCCAGCTATGTGGAACAAACTATGCGAGAGAGTATCTACTATGAACAGTGTTGAAACAGAAATCTATCGACATACAAAATTTGCGTGATTAAAAAAGAGAAACATCTGAAATTTAACAGATTGTTAGTGGAGTAAAAGACAAGCCATTAGTCATTTTTTAAGTCATAATTCACAATTCTAACATGATAAAAAAATCATAACTTTAACAAACTATTTACAGCCTGATTTTAATCAAAGCTAAATGAGACAGATTCTGTGAAAAATTTAGAAATACCAGATTATATGAAGAGAGGATATTCAAACGGTCATAAAGTTTCAGAAACCAAAATTCAAAATAGATTGCTTTGAGGTCAAGCGATTTCAACTTTGAAACGAGCTTCAACTCGAAGAAGAAACAAAAAAAGAAATAGATTGCTTGTTTTTCTCCCTCCTTTCTAGATTGTTTTTGGAAGTTGATGAATGACTTTTTCTCGTTTATGGATCTCTTTGCCTGTTTTTTTTCCTTCTCTGTCCCTTTCTCTCATTCTTTTTTCTCTGGTCTTTTGATGGGAAAACACCATCCTTTTATAGGTGAAAAACAGAGTCCAAATTTTAAACTTGAAAATTAAAATAATGCTGGAAAACAAAGGGTTGCAACTTGATATCAAAATCAATCATCCTTTTTTTTTTTTTTTTTAGATTTTGATCTGTTGGACTCTTTTACACCACGAATTTCGAAAATATTTTAAATAAAACTCGGTCAAAGCAGAGGTGTAGAAGCTTAGCGGCTTGTTCTTCATCAAAAAAAGGTGATGGAGAAGATGTAAAGTTGATAGGAGGGGGTCGTGATTGATGGACGACAGAGGAGCGCAGTAGGATATTGTTGCTTTCGGTGATTCACGTCTGTTATTGATGGGAAGAGTCGAGAGGGGTAGGGGAAGAAGAGTAAGGGGGTCTGGGAATCACGTGGGGGGTTGATGAGAGAGGAGTCTTGGGCAGCCATAGGCGATGATGCAGCAACCGTAGAGAGTAGTGTAAGGGAGAAGGTGGATAAACAGGTTGAAACGTCGGAAAGAGAAGCGGCGTGATTTCTCGGTCAAATCAGAGTATAGGGGCGGTGGAGTCTATTTTGGAAAGCTGAAAAGTCTTGGTTATTTTGAGAATGATCAGATGGTCAAAATTAATATTATATATATATATATCCCACACTTGACAACTGGATCGGCTCAACTATGCCATTGGACTTGGGTCCAAGTCCACTCTTAGGCTGATACCCATACTTCTACATATTTGACATAACTATTTTTGCCACACTTGACAACTTTGTATTACATGTCTCGGCTTCCTCACCGACCCTAATAGCTTGCATAATTTCCAAAGTGTGGAAGGTGGCTCCGTTTAAATCATCAGCGACTGGGATAGAATTGACAGAAAGGATGGGGTAACTGAGCTCTCTGTGGATGGTAACTTATGTGCGACCCCCTCAAACTTTACGCATTGGTGAAGAGTGGAAGGAACTACTCTTGCCATGTGGACCAATTGTCTTCTTAACAATAGGTTTTGGATGATACATCCAGCATCTGAAACAGAATGGGGAATTTGGCTGGCCCTACTTGCAATGTGAGATAGATCTCTCCAATGAAACTTCTTTGTTCTCCATCAAAATCTCTAACTTTCACACGACTTTCCTTTATCTCTCCTATATAAACATTTAGATACCTTAGAGTGGTGAAAGGACAAATGTTGCATCCAGAACCATCATCAATTCAGACTCGAGTCACAATCTTATCACAACATTTGACTGCAATGTGAAGCGCTTTGTTGTGATCAACCCCTTCTCAAGCAACTCATCATCATGGAAAGAGATCTTATTAGCTTTCGCTATTCTTCCAACCGATACAACTAAATGTTTCACTTGTGGTCTCTTTAGAAATGTTCACTCCGTCTAACAGTTCCATCAAAGCATTCATATGAGCTTCAAAACACATAAGGAGAGAAAAATGGATATGTGGGCTAGCATCTTCTTCAAATACTCTTCGACTTAATAGTCTTTTGGCTGCATCTTCTTCCAAATTTTTGCGACTTCAGCATCGATAACATTCTTTTTTGGATTTTATTCTTTTCCAAGAGCTTTTTGATTTAGATTCTCTGGGCATAACACCTCCCCGACCTAGTCATTCCTTGAGTCACGATAGTGTCGATCATCTTGCCCATTGCACCTACTCGATAGTCCCATGGGACTGCTTTGGTGTCATATTTAGGCTTTGGTGGTTTGTACCCTACCGACATGTCAATGTCTGGATGGATGCACAAGTTATCATAATCCAGATTCTCCATTCCTCTAGTAACTTGCAAGATTTTCAATTCCATTTTTAAAACCTGCAGTTGGGCATTTATTGACGCATCCTCTTTTCACTGGGCATCTTTCTCCAATTCAGTATATTGATCCACCACATACAGGACATTAACAACTGTGGGCATTATGAAGGTAGGAGCTCCAGTGACATATATGGGAGGAACATGTGGCTCATAGGGAGCGACGACATGTGACCCAAGTATCTACTGCATTGTAAGTATGGTAGGGTCACAATTATAAAGGTCGAGAATAGTCCTAGGTACGGTTGGAGAAGCTAGTGGAACTTGACCGTTATCGAGAGCGTGTTGAGTTTGTTATGGCTGATTTGGCAAGTCGGTAGAAGACAAGTCAACCTTTGTAAAGTAGATAGGCGTGTTGAAAGTAGGGAAAGTGGTAGTTGATAGTTTGGTCAAGTCTCGCACTTGGCGTAATTATTCCCTCAAGATTTCGAGTTCTTGCTCCATATGATCCATTTTCTCTTCATTTTGGATGTCAGTCATGCTTCGAGAACCTTCAGGGTTCTCAATAGGTATCATGATGTTTGCAACAACATTGAACTTGTTTTTATCAGTCATTTTCCCTTTTGATCAAAGGTTGTATCGTGAGTCAGCCAATTTGCAAGTTGACACTAATCAACGTACTTTTGGGGATAAATGAAGAAAAATAAAAGAGGCAAATAAAAAGGAAAAACTATGTTAGTTTGGGAAGTATTGAAAGTGGTAACAAATATATAAGTGTAACACATATATGCGTCAATTTGGCGACATTCAAAACACATCGTAATGTAGAACCTCTTTTTGCCTGAGGTAGGCTTACGTTGCAATCAATTTGATAATAAATTATCCATTTAAACACATTTTAGATTTGAAGCAAATATAACTTCATTGATTAAGGTATCTTGGATGTTTTATTGAGATAGGAAATTAAAAACCTAAGAAATGAAAGTACGGGGGCCCATAAGGCATACAGGAGGAATAAACCACATGGCACTGAGAAGAACTTATTAAAAGAGTTCAAAGAAGAAAGGTGATCTACGGCCAGGTTAGAGCATCATCATCATCATCATCCCCATCATAATATGGCCTTGGTGGTACTCTAGAGACTCGTCGGGGACACATTCGATTGATATGTCTATAACCTATATATATATTGGGTTATAAATGTTAGAAATCGCCTTAGAAACCTCTATGTGATCTTCCCACACTTTTCCTTTTGGTTTATCTTTGGGATCCTCATCTCGATCCTCTTCAATGTCTTCATCCAGATTTTCTTCCGAGTCTCCTTCAGGATCCTCCTCCGGGTCCTCTATTAGGTCCTCTTCTAGATCTTTTTCTTGGATCAAATAATTGACGATCTCAGGATTATCTGGTTGAGCATGGGTTTGGTGAACCCCATGCGAGGTAGCACCGATTTTCTAATCCAATTAATTTGTTGTCTGTCTACAAACCCCCAATGTCTGTGTGCGCTTGGATGAGCCATGTGACTCATAGTATATTACCTATTTCTAAATTGATTGTAGATTTCCACTCCACTTGTAGATTTCTTATTCGATCCAACAAATGCATCTTCACTAAATTCCATCATTGTCCCTAGCGGAATGTCTTGGATAACTCCAAATTGCCACATAACCCGGAGAGGTGCATATGGTTGAATGCCCCTGAGCCCAATAAACTCTATAAAGAAAAGGTATGTAGTCCTTGCATATGCCAATCCTGTTAACCAATCAAACTTTCATTGGATGGTGTCTCCCGTGGGGTTATTAAAAATGTGCGCCATTCTTCCCTTCATGTTTGTGCACCCTCCCAATTTTAGAGATGATCGTAATGGTTTTTGATCTTGTTAGGACCACCTATGTAGTAATCCATTTGTGGATCACATCTATAGAAATGTTTCCTTGCCCAAATCT